GATAAATTTTGTATCATAAAGTTACAAAATTACGTAAACATATATTATTTATTTTAATTGACTTATATCAAATCAAACCAATTTTTATTTTATTTGAAATATCTCACAAAGTCAAACCATCACACCACCCTTGATAAAACCTAGTGTTCAATTTACCCTTTGAAATTCCACTTCCTCTTTTTCGATTGGACAAAAGTGAACTATGTTTAGAATCATTGTTCAAGAAGTCAAAGTGCATTCATTGATTTCTAACACCAAAGTTATCATCGGCCATCGCCGGAAAACAATTGATAGGACTTATCATTTCAGTTTTATGTATGTATTTTTTTGCTTAGTGGTTACCGTCAAATATGTTAGTGGTTAATTGAAAACAAACGGGCTAGCACCCCTACTCACAATCAATAATAAATAAGAAGAGTCGGACTAGTTATTTCGCACCGCTCTATATTTTTTTGTTTTTGTTCTTTACTGACATGGATCTATTGAAGAGAGAAAACTATTTTCAGGGGGCTAGCTTGAGGCCTTGAGCCACTCCCATGAGGATGAGTAAGGAACTCAAGCTAGCAGCTCCCTCGCTTGAATCAGTCAAAACTTACTTTGTTAACTATTGTTATGAACACACTAATTATGATCTACACAATTATATCTATTTTGCTATATTTTGAGCAAAACAAAAATAACTCTTCAAAAAAACATGTTGGTTGTAGTATTATTAATATCATATCATCATTATATGCAGTTATATGATGATATATTTTTTTCGTTTTTACTCTAAATTAAAAAAAAAATTGCAGATAAAGAAGTCAATAATTATGAGCTACAAGTTGATATCAATTTTGTTATATTTTTAGCAAAGAAACAAATTAGCCCTTCAAAAAATACATGTTTGTTGTAATCTTATCATTATCATATCATGATGTTACCACTATTGTAAGACTAATTGCACATCATACCACTATCATATCATGATATTATCACTATTTTATAGTGGTAATATGATCATAAGAATATGATAGTAATAAGATGTCATCAAATTGTTTGGTCAAACATAAAACCTCACACCAACATACATTACTACTAGGGATGTCAATTTACCCACCAATGGATAATTTTACCCAAACCCAAGTAAACTCATTAATTATGGGTAGGGTATGGGGTGAGATACATATGGGTGTGGGGTGGGTTTGGGTTTAGGATGGGTATGGATATTGCTTCCATATCCTAAATGGGCATGGGTTGGGTTTTGATACCCATGTACTTGAGGTTGTTTGTAACAACACATACAAAAAGTGTACCTATTTGTGAAATTTAAAAAGTTTAGGTATCTAAATGTAATACTCAAGAATATTAGGTACTAAAATGTAATTTTCCATCAATATTTTGAGAAATTATATGCAAGAAAATTGAAATATAGGTACTAAATCTAAAGACATATTAAGTTTAGGTAACAAACTGTAATTTGCAAATGGGCATGGTACAAACCCAAATCCATGAACTAAAAACCCAACTAAACTCAAATAAATGGGTATGGATATAAATCCATAAAACTCTACCAATTTACCATCTATTTGGATTTCATACCCAACCCAATTGGGTTGGATAGTAAAATACTCATGGGTTTGGGTAACATTGTCTAATTACTAGTAAAATAAATGGGTATGGATATAAATCCATAAAACTCTACCCATTTACCATCTATTTGGATTTCATACCCAACCCAATTGAGTTGGATAGTAAAATACTCATGGATTTGGGTAAAATTGTCTAATTACTAGCATACCAACATCATATCAACATCATACCACTATGGTAAGACTTCAAATACACATCTTACCAATTATATCTTGATCTTACCACTTTGAGTAGTAATGTCGTGATATGACAGTGGTAGGATATATGAAAAAATTTAGTTAAAAAAATATTAAATAAATATCATCTTCTATACACAAAAAGTGGGATATTTTAACTCAATTTTTTTCTTTTTGAAAAATGATGTGAAATGTATGAACTACTGTTCATTGCATTTTTGGAAGAAGATTTGAAAAGTGCTTTAACAATAAAGCCAACCCAAAAATCTGGTCAGCTATCCCCTAAATTCCTTATTTTCCTCCTTATCCTTCATGATGGACCATTAAATCTCTCTTTCTCAAATTATAACCATTAAGTTTGATTTTGTAGCATTACAATATAATGTATTTGAACCTAAGTTGAGCTAAATTTCAATCTTCGATCTTCGAATATATTACTGACCGAAAAATAGATAAATCATAAGTACAATTATGGCAAGAAACACATATGATTCTCACATTATGTGGGTCGTTTATATTTTCCTTGGTATGTCCTACATGACCCCTCTTGTTCTTAGATGTTAGCCTCTAGATTGGGATGACTAATCTTGTGTTGGACCGAGTTGTTGCTAATGGTGCTCAGCTAAAGTGTGCAAAGTATTGGGATTTGTGCATGACAGCTGGTTACGATTTTCTACCCTTTCTTTTACGTTGTAGTCAAGGGAGCGGGGAACAGATTGTATCTTGATTGCCTACTAACTTTTAGTAGGCATTTGATTGTTTTATTGTAATAAAATAATAATAACAAAATAAAATAATAATAGTTTCCACCCACTTCACCATGATAGTTCTATGATCTATCAATTATTATTGAAACCTGAATTTATTCAAATCTAAAATTGCAACATCCTCGCATGCCATGTAGAAGATGACTAAATGAGGAAGTTTCTCTCCCATTCCACGTTTATGCTTTTGGAGGTTGGCATACCAAATGATCAAATATTTTGAAGAACTCGTGAATTTCGAGTAATGTTTGTTAAAGCAATAATAATGGCAATGTGAGCTCTTAAACTACGTAATTTATTCATTTTTTCATGATTGAGTCCTTATTATAGCTTTTATTGGGTCGATATTCTGTCTTTATTGTTAGTTTTATGTTCTAGTTTTTAGATATTAATAACGTTCTCCTTTGAGTATTTTCCCACGATTGTGTCTCTTTATTGCCGTCATTAATTTAAGAACAGCCTTTGGTCTATTTATATCCCAAAATATATTGACATGTGATCTCTTGTTGTTTATATCCACAACGACTTTTTTTTTTTTTGATAATGGCGATTTTATTAAAGAAAAGCAAAGCAAAAGGAAACAACAAACAGGGAAGAGGCTCAAGAGGAAAGAACCAGGTTCCCAGACAGAACAGAAAGAAACAATGAAAAGGAAGAAGAAAGAAAAAAGAATGAGACAAAGAAAGAATGGCTTAACGGATTGGGAACCGTTCCACAACGACTTGAACCGGAGTTTTTCACTATCTTTGTTTTCGTGGGAAAGTTTTTCACAAACTTCTGGAATCTGGATAAAATATGTTAAGCCAATTAATCGATTACCTATAATTTGGGTTGTGCAATTTGGTTCGGATTGTAGGTCACTATAAATGATTTTGTTTGGTCCATGATGGGTCGTTTTGATATGTTGGTGCGATCTGGCCCTGAATCCAAGTATATTGAACCAGACCGAGAATCCAACTCATTTTTCGATCTGTATCAACAGTCACTCGTTCATTCTCCCAACTTTTTGATAAGACCAAATCTCAACACTAATTTCGTGAAGTTAATCTTATTCTTCCTCCGTATGTTATTTGGTATGATACCTAATATGTATTTCAACCCTTTTATCTATATTGTGAATGTGTATATGATATATATAGTCTGAACTAAATCGAACCATTTCTCAACCCTAACTCCATCACCCTTGATGGAATGGGTTTCATGCTTTATATTGCATAGGACGAACTTTTCCTCATCTTAAAACGACATACCAAACAATGGAAGTTTCATGATCATTAGCACAAAAATTAGAACCATGTTTCGCGATTACAATAGAAGTCGATTACATTATATGTTTGATTTAAAAGAATATCCTGCAATACTTTGAATTAAGATAATTTGAATTTGTTTACTTGCTATAACAGGCTTCAATGGTCGCCTTACGTTATACCATAGTTATTACTTATTACGTAATGGTTACGTGACGTATGTTTATCTTACGTAACAGATGTAAGAGATCATTACGTAAACTTTACGTAATTGACAATCCTTTTACATAATAAATATTAACCTCGTGTTACGTAAAACACTAAGTCATTACGGAAGTCTTACATAATACAACAATTTAACTGCTACGTAAGAAACAGTTGTCGTTCCATGACCGCTACGTAATGTATGTTTATTTTACGCAACAGTCGTAAAAGGTCAATAATGACATGCACTCTCTAAATTGATTGTAGCATATTTAACAATTTGAAATTATATTTAAGTTACTGTAAGAGATATATTTTGGTATGCATCTCAATGAAAAGAAAAGAAAAAAATAGTTAACAAATTTAAAAATATATATGCAACAAGTTGAATAAAAGAAATCAAATCAAATTTGAAAAAAAGAGAGACAATGCGAAAAACTCAACTCTAGGCAGGTAGCACGATTGGAATGAGAAGCCTAAACATTGTTTGACCAGCATCCTATGTTCATGTATATATATTAGTGGAGGCTAATGAAACCCATAACCCTCAAGCTCAAGCTCAGCTACTCTCTCTATTCTAGAAAAGGAAAAGATCCACTCTCTCATTATTAAGGTTGGTTCCCCAGATATTTCTCTTTTCTAAAGTTATGACCATGTGAATTTTTTTTTTATTATCATTCCTATATTATGACAATTACTCTTTTATCGGGTAATTTTTATTCAAACTCATGTAGATCAATTGATTACTGGTAGATTGTAGAATATGGGTTAAAGAAATATATGGGTTAGCTTGAAAATGATATAAATCCCAAAATTCTCAACGAATATATATGCGACTTTCAAAATTCTCGGAGGTCCCTAGCACCAACGTAGCTCCGCCCCTGAATACATGCATGTATTTATTGATTTTGACGTCCCGATATTCCTTTCTTTTCCGAACCAGTTTTTACACTACTGTCTCTCTCCACCAAACAATTATGGTAACAAGAACCGTCGATCTCCGATCCGACACCGTCACCAAGCCTTGCACGGCAATGAGAGCTGCCATGGCGAAAGCCGAGGTCGACGACGACGTTTTGGGGAACGACCCGACCGCCCTGAGGCTGGAGGCCGAGATGGCGAGAATCACGGGGAAGGAAGCCGCGCTGTTCGTCCCCTCGGGCACCATGGGCAACCTCATCAGCGTGCTGGTCCACTGCGACACCAGGGGCAGTGAGGTCAAAGGGTTTGGGTGCACCGGTTGGGTCTGTGATTGTAGGTTCAGAAAGCTTCATTGCAAAGGTACACACCCTCACCACAAATTAAAGCTTTCGAGTATAGTAGCCATGGAAACATGGGAAAAAATCCCAAGTTACACATGTTTTTAAAAAAAATTCTCAAAATACACAAGTTATGAAAATAATTCCCAATCTACGTTAGTTTGGGCCATCACCGCTTTCGACGAAGACAGTGATTGCATCACTGTTGTCGACGAAGACAGTGATGCAATCACCGCTGTTGACGAAGACAGTGATTGCATCACCGCTGTCGACAAAGACAGTGATTGCATCACTGCAGTACACGGCCGCGGTGAAGGCCTGACCTGCGTCGAAACTTTAAACAAACGTAACTTTGTGCTCGGTTATCCGATCGTAGCGAAATTTTTTTTGATTCCGCATAATTTTTCGAGATCTTGCAAGCCTCAAGTTGCCGTAGGCAGTTTGGTCCCGCCTTCGTCTCGAAAATATGTCATTTGCTACACCGAACGAGCCTTTTTTCGATTTCGTCAAACTTTGAACGACCATAACTTTGTGCTCCACAATCCGAAAATCATGAATTTTTTTTTTTATTTCGTATAACTTTTTAAGGACTACAATTTTTAGTAGGAGAGAATTTTCAAAAAATGAATTATTTATGGATATAAGGGGTTTTGGGAATAACTTTACCTTCCTTTTCAGGAATCCAAGTATATTCCGAAAATATGTCTATGATAAAAATTGTAGTCCTTAAAAAGTTATGCGAAATCAAAAAAAAATTCATGATTTTCGGATTGTGGAGCACAAAGTTATGGTCGTTCAAAGTTTGACAAAATCGAAAAAAGGCTCATTCGGTGTAGCAAACGACATATTTTCGAGACGAAGGCGGGACCAAACCGCCTACGGCAATTTGCGGCTTGCAAGATCTCGAAAAATTATGCGGAATCAAAAAAAATTTCGCTACGATCGGATAACCGAGCACAAAGTTACGTTTGTTTAAAGTTTCGACGCAGGTCAGGCCTTCACCGCGGCCGTGTACTGCAGTGATGCAATCACTGTCTTTGTCGACAGCGGTGATGCAATCACTGTCTTCGTCAACAGCGGTGATTGCATCACTGTCTTCGTCGACAACAGTGATGCAATCACTGTCTTCGTCGAAAGCGGTGATGGCCCAAACTAACGTAGATTGGGAATTATTTTCATAACTTGTGTATTTTGAGAATTTTTTTTAAAAACATGTATAATTTGGGATTTTTTCCTGGAAACATGACGTAAGACTAGTACTGTCATGTTGTTGTTTTCATCAGGCTAAGATCCTGAGGAAAGCTCTGGGCGGCGGGATGAGACAGGTCGGCATCCTTTGCTCCGCCGCATTGCTGGCGGTGCAAAACAATGCGGCGAAGCTGGAGAACGATCACAAGAATGCCAAGACACTAGCCGGTGCATACTCCGATTCGATCTTTCGTTGCTAAAACCCATTCTTATATCTTCTTCTGCCTCTTGAAATACTTACGGGATGATGATGATTTTTTTTTTCTTGTGTTTTCTTTCCTTATCAGTTGGGCTTAATGAAATCAAAGGACTGAAAGTGAATGTTGCCACGGTAGAAACAAACATCGTGAGTAGTACTGAGTAGTCTTTCTGTCTCCCCTCCACCCTATTACGGCCGAAACTCAGTCCGCCCCAACCCTATAAGAATCCTGTCCTAACATGTGTCAATTTGTAAAACTGACTCGTCATGTTCGTGCATATTTTCTTCTCCAACCCTATTTAACCTGTTTGGACCGACTTAATCGGACGAGTCAACTAGTGATGGCAATGGGGTGGGGCGGGGCGCTACTACGGGTCAGGGCGGGTAAAACCCGCGCAGGTACGGGGCGGGGCGGGTCGACCCACTCTTACATGTTGTTCAAAAAAAAAAATACAAGTAAATTTTACTTTTTACAATAAAACGTAGGGAAAAACACTTTAAGAATGAAAAATATTGATAATAGAATGGATAATTGAGCCTAACAAGTTGAAAGATCGACTCTAACCAGTTGAAGAAAAGTCAAAATAGGAGAAATATGTATAGATATTATAAGAAATTGAGATAAAATGAGTATAGAACGGGGCGGGGCAGGGAAGGGCGGGTCGGAAGTAGATACCCATGACCCCGCCCCACGCTACTGCGGGTCGGGTAATACCCGCCCATCGCGGGTCAGGTCGGATAATACCCGCGGGGCGGGTTGAAATTGCCATCACTAGAGTCAACGCAGATTCATCAGTTCAAATCCGTCATCAAAACCAATTTTGTAAAATTTGCATTTTGGTATCCAAATTTGGTTTTCTTACAATTTTAGAATCTAAACACATTTTTTTTTTACAAATACTTCCAAAAGAGTTGTGGTGGTAAATTTGCATTTTATTACCTATATATTGTTGTCTCGTATTATAGTACCTGAACTCTTAAAATTTTACAAACATGTTCAAGATGTTGGTACTTGTCTACTTGATACATACCATATCATCTCCCAATTTCAAATCATTAATTCTTGTTCTGGATCATAGTCTACACAATCCTAAATTGACCCGACTCTATCCAACTCTTACAGAGTGAAAAAAAAACTCAATCCTAACCTGACATTCTACACAAACTGACTGAGTCCAACCCTCAGTCGGTTGAGTTTTTTTTCCCCATGGTTGAAACACTTAGCCTCTCCATCGTTTTTGCATCGACAGATTTATGTCCATTTAGAGGAGAGCTCCTGCCTCACAGCAGAAAAGCTGTACAAGAAGTTGCAGCAACATGGTGTGGTTGTGGTGATGTTAGGAGGTCCGTACAGGTATGATTTTAATCAATCGCTCCTCACTCCGAGCTCTTTGTCTAGCCATTATCAAACGCATTGTAATTGATCAATTTTTTTTTTTTTTTTGCATTCCTTGCAGCATAAGGATTGTAATTCACCATCAGATCTCGGAAAGTGATGTGCAGTACACGATTTCGTGCTTTAAGGTGATTGATGAATTGCATGGTTTGCCTGTTGCAGCAGAGAGTACGCGTTGTCCTTGTGTGCTTTATGAAAACATACATGCAAGATTTCGTGGTTTGATGATCGTTGTAGCTTGGTTAATTTGAATGGTTTTGTTTGCAGCAAGTTCTAAATGCCGACGTGCACAAGAGGAAACGTAAAAGAAACCATCGGCGTCACCCCGTTTAATTTCTCCACTAATCTCTGTCTTGTCATCTCATCTCGTTTTCACTTGGAAAGTGTTGGCCAAGCTGGGAAAATAAGTTGATTTACACATCACCATTGGCGTATTTATGTGTGAACGTTTAATAAGTGCCGTGACAAATGCAGACATATTCACAATACATATATGTTAGTCAGTACATGATAACTCATTTCGGCGGAAATCTCGACCATTTGATTGCTATTTGACGACGCTAAATTCCGTATTTAAATCCTAATGACTAATAAAAACAAAAGAATTGAAATAACAACTATGAACCGTCAAATAGAGTGATTAGTTCATTACTAGAATCAATACCCACGGCTACGCCGCGGGAAATATATTGATGTCTACGTGGGGAATATTTAGCTAATATAATGTTTAGATGTTTAGCTAATAACATGTCTAGTCGTATCTTTTAAAAAAAAAATTACAGAATCAAAACAGTATATTTCATTCGTGCATTTGCGTGCTTGGTATACAAATATGATATCTTATATGTTTTATAAAATAACTTATTGGGCAAGATGAATTTAATGAGCGAGCATTCACATTAGAATTGTAATTTAAATTGCATTATCATATGACATTCATTTGCAATTGTATTGATGTACATGACAATTGCATCTTCGTAAACTTGTATGTAATCCAATCAAAAATTGAAAGCCATATCATCTTTTTTATTATTATATTATTTCTGATTTTCCTTTTTAATTTTTTATATTTTTATAATTACATTCAATAGCCAATTGCAATTGCAAGTTAATTGCATTGATGTGGTGCAATAAAAGTAATATAAGTTTTTTTTTATCTTAGTGATATCAATAGAGGAAAATAGTTAAACTTACAATTCTACCTAGGACCCCAAAAGAATCTAAGGAAGCCACCCAAAAAAGTAATATAAGTTGGATCACAAAGAAATTTAAATGACAATAAAGAACACAAATACAATTACATATATAATTGCATTGATGTAGATGCTCTAACTATTCTTTACAAATGGTAAGATTATAACACACTGGACCATGTTGGGTGAAATTATCTTAAGAAGTCAATTGCTTCTAGTTCTTTGATACTCCATCATCCGGTTTCTCCACGTTGACTTCTTGCAAAGGATAAACAAACCTAAAGCCAGTTGAACTAAAAGAAATCAGATTGCAGAATGTTATAAACGCTTATACTGACCAGAACCATAATAAGTACGATGAAAACCAACACTTACCAAATTTGTATTCTCCGAGAAGAGGAGCATTCTCAGCAAAGAAAGTTTTTTTTTCCTACATAACCACAGGAGAAGCTCATTATAGTTGATATATTTGACTTTCTAACCAGAGCAAAAAAAGCAAGCTAACTAACTGATAATTTAGTGCAAATTCTTTGTTGATATGCATCTTATTAAAGAACCACGTAAAATTTCTATTATTTTCTAACATACACCGTTCCTTACATATATAGTACTTTCCCTTTCTCCATCCCTAAGTCTTAAAGCACTTGAGCACTTGTTGAGGAAGGCAACTCTCAGTCTCTCACTGTCTCTGTTCTAGTGTAATATATTAACCCCTTTGCTTTGCTGTTGCTGGTTGTTGAATCACTTGAGGAAACACTACCACTGCCTTCACAATCTCAACCCCACCTCCAATTACTGAACAAAGCGAGAGGGTTTCAGAATTATTATTTATTGGCAAAAAGGCAAACAAATCGAATGACTTGCATATTGCAAGACCCAAATCGGTGTTGTCATATTTTCGAGCATGATCTGTGCTGACTTGCATATACATTTTGAAGAGATTTGACAAAGCATTCTCTCTGAAAGCCAAAAAACAAACCTAAGTGTCATTAACGATTTTATAATGCATGTGAATCTTGGATCACGAACAAAATCTAGGGAGGAAAGCTTGATCAACCATTAACTTCTGGTGATTTCTTCTGCTCTTTTGCAGCCTGGGTCTGATACTATATAAAAGTCTATTCCTACCTTCCCTTTTTTGTTGAACTTAACCACATGGCTACAACGCAACCGGTGAAAGAAATCAGGACAGAGATCAACAATTTCACTTGCAGAAGGAAATAGAGTACCTGATCAGGTTGGTGAGTATTTGTCTAATCCTTAGTACATCTACAGTGACCTAGAAAATTTCAACCAGAAAATATGGCTCTTGGCAGCTGAAATTTTTCCTATATGGAGTTATGAAAACAGTTAAATCATGTCTCACCTCCATTGCAACGTCATCTGCTATGGTTCCTTCCAGGATTAGAACTTTCTGCAATCAAGAAGCAGCTGTCTGCAAGACATGCTTGACCAGTGACCACTTCTCTGGGCCGGAATTGGGTGGCTTCCAACTTTAGGCGATAGATACATTAGATTCTTCTGCAGTTGTACTTGGGCTACACATAGTTAAGATCAAGACAAATAAGAAATGAAATAAATCATGAGCACCCAACACCAACTGGTCATGCAAAGACAATAAACCGCATTAACATAAGAACTCAGGATCATGAAACACCATTTGTTTGTTGTAAGGACTCGTTTTCCAAGCAAAAGTAATACACCACCAGGTAATGAAAGCAATGAAAAATTCTAAAAAATAACAAACCTGTCCAAAGCCTTCTGCAAGGGTACTGAAGCAAAAAAATTAGAAGGAAGACTCGTACATGCTTTCCATGTATAAAACCTTTGGTAGTCGTATAATTTGTCACTAAAATCTTCACTGTGTCTTCCTGGAAAAGCAATCACCAGTGAGTTTGTGCGACCATAAACCTCTGTTAGAGAGCCCCATGTACTCTTTGCTGAAATAAATCAATATTCCACAAACCAGTCCAAGAAGGTAGAAGACAACATGAGTTTCTATAGAAGCAAAATACAAAAAGGCAAGTATCTTGGTGGTAACGATTCAGTTAAACATATTAACAAAAGGCTTAAGCGAGAGGTACCAGTTGAAAATTGGACAGATAGAGCCATAGAGACCTTCCATCTTTTGTATGCACGTTACCTTTTTGGCACCCATGTTGTCTGCAACTTCCAGAGCTGTCGCATTTGAATGAATTCTTTTGTTGCTGATGCAAAATAGAAAGGCAAGAAGTGGGTTCTGCCATCAGTAAGAAACAGTAACAAAGAAGGACATTACGACTATTTATACACCAGCGGCCAACATCTACATCAAAGGACTTCAAACGTAACGAAAGGAGAAGACTTGCTGCTTCCTCTTACGTCGCGATATGAGGATTGACTGCTGGCCGCTGCTGCTTCCTCTTACGTCGCGATATGAGGATTGACTGCTGGCCGCTGCTGCTTCCTCTTACGTCGCGATATGAGGATTGACTGCTGGCCGCTGCTGCTTCCTTTTCCGTCGCGATTGTGCTCTCCTGGAAGGCCTGAAGCACCACATTCAGAAATCCAAATTAAAAAGCTGAAAATCCTCCAAGAAGAACGCTAGCAAAAACACATACCCCTGCATCCGTCGCCACCATCGTGGTCAGCTCCTTCTTCGAACGCCATATTCCTGCCGTCGTCGTGTCATTGTTTTCGTTTGGCATCTAAGAAACCATTTTTCCCAAACTTGGATGGAGGTGGCCGATGGATTTCTGAGGAATTTTTCGGAGCTGTGTTCGGGAAAATAGGTAAGAAAGGGATGAGAGGCAAGGTGGTCGCTCTCGTTCAGGCTTTCTGTCTCACAGAGGCCGCAGTCAGGGAAATTTTAGGGTTTGCAATGCAAGAGAGAAGGGGATTGTGGAGAGGGAAGCATTTATCTCCCACCAAGTACAATCGCAATCAATCGGTGGAGAGAGGACAATATTGTAGAAGCAGAAGGAAGGTAGCGTGGTGAAGCAATCAAGCATGGATTGGATGTACTGGAAAGCGAACCGAAGCGGCAAACTGACAGGTAAGACCTGCCCTTTCGGATTTGCGGATTCAAAAGTGAAAGCATGGGCCTAGTGTACTGAAACATGATGGAGTGGAAAGGGGAAGGTCTGTTCGGCCAAGTCGGTCAGCTATTCCAGAAGCAAGCGGAGGAGGTTGTTGATGGGTGAAGCCAGAGGGAACGGTAAGAGAGGTGGAGAGAAAACGACAAATATTGAAACAGTAACAATTTTTTGGGTGAATAAAGCGTACCCAGCTTTTATATATAGAAGAATTACAAGCTACAAGGTTCTAAAAGGCGCTAGGCGTAAGGCAGGCGCTCGGCTCCTGACTTGCGTCTTGCCTGATTAGGCGTAGCCTAGGCGCGCCTAGGCGTTCAGAGCATAAATGGAAAAAATTCTCAAATATTTCCTGTTTTCTGGAATAATTCATATAATCCAAATGCATATAAAATTAGCAATGCCTAGTTCTTAACAGTAAACACTTAACATAACAAATAACAAGCAAATAGTGACCACTTTCTAGAATCACAAGTTCATAAAATGTCGAAATACTAAACAATAGTCAATAAGTTCATAGGAAAATGTTCATTCTTCATCATCAAAGTAGGTCCGTCCAGCCACCACTTCATCTTCATCATCCTCAAAAGAAATCTCCTCACCATCCTCCTCCTCTTCTTCCTCCTCTTCGGACTCTAATTCTTCATCATGGAGCTCTCTCACTCGTGCACTCCTGCGAAGCTTACTCTGTTCACCCGCCATTGCATCTGTAACAGTACTCGAGGGTGCACAATATGATTCTTCATCCTCATCTACGAATACATACATAGCATGGTCATCCCTTCCCGTGTTTCTGATTTTCTAGGGCAAGAGGCAATTTTCTGATTTTCTAGGACAAAACGAAGAGTATTGGGTTTAACCGCCTAAGCTCGCCCAGGCACGCCTTATCCCCACTAGGCGCAAATTAAGCGCTATTCCTACCTACTAATCGCTACTAGCGCCTTTTACAACGCCTAAGGCCAAGTCAAGGCGCTCCTCCACCGCCTAGCGCCTAATTGCGCCTAGGCGTGCGCCTAGGCGCGCCTTCTTGAACCCTACAGCTATTAAAAAAAGTCTCAGAAATTGCTCAAATTTTATCGCAATGTTCGTATCGAATTATCATGAACAAATATATATATTTTAAATTAAAAAAACATAGCATTGACTATTTATAAGTTAGAATTATTAAACACTAAACGAAAAATTGTAGGCTCTGGATTGCAGCTGTTTATGATTTCGATGATGCTAAAGGACAATTTTAGCCTTAAACCACCCCCCTAATTATTATTAGCCTCGAGTTGTAGTCTGTAGATAGCCTTATCGAGCAATGCGCTTGGATGACTTCTATATGTTCCTTCCACAAGTGAAGAACAACACAGAGAAATTCTGCATTGACTGCGTTTGGACAACCAGTTCCATTTCAATCATCACAAAAACCACACTTCAACTAATACTTTTTTATTATTTTACTGATAAAATATTATTAAATAAATATAATCTCATCCCTATTTACACCCCTTTTTTTTTCCCAAACAACAATTTACACTCTAATTTGCACCCCCCCTTAAATTTACTCCCTTCTACAATTTACCTCTCAATTTGCACCCTCTCGTTGCCAAACACAGCGTTAGAATACCGACATGTTGAGGTGTCTAATGGTCACGCAACCCGTGGCTAGCGAACAAGAACCCTGATAAGAGAGAGTATTAAGTGGAACAGAATTGATTCTCCACTATGTAACCGTTTGAGTTTTTTCCTTCTTTGAAGCAACCTCTGCGTAGGTTTTGCTCTTTCTGTTTCTGCTGTACTTGTATAAGACCCACTGTTCAGTAATGTAAAGACTCAGCTTTCCAGATTCACTTACAAACCCAACATCCTGAACGTCGTGCAGCCCGGTCCGATCACAATATACTGTCATCAGCTTCCGCAACTGGGTGCTCTCCTTGAGTCTGAAGAGAACCTTGTTCCCGGTCACTGTAAAATACGATAAACGACGATAAACGCGGAATAAAACGAGACCAGGATTTACGTGGTTTCCCCGTTCAATTGAACGAGACTAGTCCACGGAGAGCTCGTAGCTCTCAGAGATGGAATTATTTGATGATGTTCAGTCTTAGGGTTCGGCAGCTGCTGCCCTACCCTTATATACACGAAAACAATAAAAGCCTAACTCCTCAACACATACACGTGGAGTTGGCAAACTACAAAATGACCCCTACAATTAATATAGAGAACGTAGGGATCACAACACGCCCCCTCAAGCGAAGGAGTGAATGTCAAGAAGGCCGAGCTTGACAACTAGATGATGGAATTGATCAACACTCAATCCCTTCGTGAACAAATCGGCCGGCTGCTCCAAGGTAGCGATCTTCGTCGGGGCAATGTCACGAGATTGAACCCGTTCACGAACAAAATGACAATCCATCTCGACATGCTTAGTCCGTTCATGGAAAACCGGATTAGCAGCGATGTGGAGTGCTGCTTGATTGTCGCAAAACAAAGGAGTGGGACCAGTGGAGGGAACACCAAGATCACAGAGGAGCCAACGCAGCCACAACACCTCACTTACAGTACTTGCCATAGCTCGGTATTCGGCCTCTGCAGAAGAGCGGGCGACGACTGTCTGTTTCTTCGTACGCCAAGAGACAGGAGAGGCACCAAGGGTGATGAAGTAGCCGGTCGTGGAACGACGAGTAAGAGGACAACCACCCCAATCTGCATCACAGAAAGCAGTCAAGACAAGAGGGGTGTCAGCAGCAAAGAAGAGACCACGACCGGGAGATGACTTGAGATACCGAAGGACACGCACGGCAGCTGCTTCATGCGCCTGAGTGGGGGTCTGCATAGCCTGACTGAGGAGGTTAACAGCATAGGTAATGTCAGGTCTCGTGACAGTGAGGTAAATAAGACGACCAACCAGGCGACGATACGCCCCCGGATCCACAGCCGGGGGGGAGGGAGTGCGTCCAAGGTGATGCTGCTGCTCAATGGGCGTAGAACAAGGCTTGGCTGCCTCCAAACCTGCATCAGCCAAGATGTCTAAAACATACTTTCGCTGATTGAGAACAAGACCGCGCGGGGAACGAGCCACTTCAATCCCCAAAAAATACTTGAGCGGACCGAGATCTTTGATAGTAAATCGGTCATGAAGAAAAGCCTTCACTCGGGCGATGAAATCCAAATCGGTACCAGCCAGAATGACATCATCGACATAAATGAGGGCTGTAACGAACTCATTACCTCGACGATAAGTGAAGAGTGCATGATCAGCACTGCTGGCAACAAAACCAAGCTCAAGAAGTGCCTGTGTAAACTTCTGGTACCAATTCCGAGATGCCTGACGTAAACCATAGATGGACTTGTGCAAACGGCATACACGGGTTTCACCCGGAGCAGCAAATCCTTGAGGAATAGCCATGTAGACCTCCTCGTCAAGATCACCATGCAGAAAAGCATTATTTACATCGAGTTGATGAATATGCCATCCACGAGTAACAGCAACAGCCAGCAAACAGCGCACAGTAACGAGCTTGGCAACCGGTGCAAAAGTGTCATGGAAGTCCACCCCTTCCACCTGGGTGAACCCCTTCGCGACAAGACGAGCCTTGAAGCGATCAATAGAGCCATCCGGAAGAAATTTAATCTTATAGACCCACTTGCAAGCTATACATTTCTTACCGGGAGGCAAAGGAACTATGGACCAAGTGCCATTTTCAACAAGAGCCAAAAATTCACGAACCATGGCGTCCCGCCAGTGCTTGTAACGAACAGCCTGGTAGAAATGAGCTGGCTCGTGGGTAGCACTAACAGCAGCAACAAAGGCATGGTGGGCGGTGGATAGCCGATGATACGTGACATAATCATCCAAAGGATAACGAACAGCGGCAGAGTGAGCTGCCCCAGGAAGGTCCACATCATAGTCACGCAGACGAGTGGAAGGAAGTCGCACCCTGTCACTACGACGAATGGCAGGGGGAGCCGGGGCTGGGGAAGGAGGCTGCTCGGCCGCAGGAGAGGCTGATGATGGCTCGGCTGAAGCCGAGGCAGAAGGAGTATCCTGGGCGGAGGAGGCCTGCGCGGGCGAATCACTAGCAGCTGGCGGAGTCTCCATGCGCTGACTGGCAGCTGGGGAATTGGCCATGCGCGGACTGGGAGGTGGCGAAGCAACTGCCAACTCGGGAGAGGTAAGCGCCGAGTCCAAGTCGACATCCTCAGTAAGAGGAATAGGAGCAGTAGCCTGTATGGGAGGAAAAGAGACCCGAGAAGGAGTGAGGGACCCTCTGTCATCAAAGTCCCGATAGGGAAACACGGACTCAAGGAAGTGGACATCGCGTGAGGTATACATCGTATGATTTTCAAGATCATACACCCGATAGCCGCGTTGAGAAGATGGGTAGCCAAGGAAAATACCGGCACGACCACGTGCACCAAACTTATGAAGTCCATGATGGTTGTCCCGTGCATAAACCAGACAGCCAAAACTCCGGAGGTGATCATAAGCTGGATTCTTGTCGAACAACACCTGAAATGGTGATTTATTACCAATCGTAACCAGGGGCATGCGATTAATCAGGTAAGCTGCAGTCAAGACACATTCTCCCCAAAATTTAATAGGGAGATTGGCGTGGAAGCGCAGTGCACGGGCAGTGTCCAACAAGTGACGGTGCTTGCGCTCCACAACCCCATTCTGCTGCGGCGTATCAGTACAGGAAGTCTGCAAAACGATGCCTTCTTGTTCATAATACGCAGTTAATGCAGAAGTAGCAAACTCAGGTCCGTTGTCAGCCTGTATGCGCCGCACCCGTTTATGAAACTGAGTCCGCACAAGATTACAAAAATAGAGTAGATGGCGAGCAACGTCGGACTTATACTTCAACAAGAAAACCCAAACAGCACGACTAAAGTCATCCACAATGGTTAAAAAATAATGAGCGCCAGAGATCGACGCAGTTTTATAACTTCCCCAAATATCAGTGTGTATGAGATCAAAAACTGACTTAGTCTTAATGGTGCTGCTCACAAAAGAATTCCGAGTTTGCTTCGCCCTCAAACAAGACCGACAAGGCTCCTTATTATGAATAAAAGAACAATGAAGTAAAGACTCCAATGCATGTAACTTCGCTGCAGACGGATGCCCAAGACGAGAGTGCCACAGTTCGGTGCTATCCAGTGATCTTCGAACGGAGTGTGCCATCACATGATCCCGTGCAAACAATCGCAGGAAGTATAACCCATCAACATGCTTACCCATCCCAATCAGCCTCTTGGACGGTAGGTCCTGAATCACACAGAAGTCACCCAAAAATATTAACGCGACTGGGAGATCAGCAGTCAGCCTACTGACCGAAAGCAGGTTGCACTGAAAATCGGGAACATGGAGAACACGACGTAATAACAAATCATCAGATAGCTTGGCTGTCCCAATACTGCGAACCTGAACCCCAGTACCATTCGGGATTTTAACCTGAAGAGCAGGACTCGAGTCCAACTCAGAATCCAACAAAGAATTATCAGTAACGATGTGTTCGTTACATCCAGAGTCAATAACCCACGAAGCTGAAGAAACCGAAAAATTACCTGCCATATTTGAGGATGGTTCGGCTGAACCATGATGTAAATCACCACTGAGCAGCGCCTTTAGTTGCTCAAATTGGCGCGCGGAGAGACCGGGAAGAGGGCTGTCCGCTGCATCAACTTGCGCTGCTTGCGGATTGGAACGCGCCCCACGATCGGAACGGCGACGAGGAGGATCACCCTTCTCGGAGTTCTTCGGTGGAAAGCCAATGAGACGGTAACAAGTCTCCTTGAAATGACCAGTACGCTTACAATGGGAACACTTGGGTTTCCCTTCAGCATCACGCTCCTTCTCGCCATCACGTTCAGCAAGTAAAGTGGATCGGTCCACTTTCTTCTCTCCCTGCGCCTGGAAAACAGCGGCCTCGGGCCGAGGACGCCGACTAGAGGTGATCTGCCGCTGCTGCTCATCATTGGTGACGAGCTGGTAAGCTTCAGCAAGCGAGGGGATTGGCTTCATTGCCAATATCTGTGACTTGACGGTAGCAAAGGCATCGTCGAGTCCCATTAAGAAATCAAACAAACGTTCTCCTTCCCGGACTTCCCTTTGACGTTTCTTGACATCACAAGTGCAGCCTGAACAAGTACACGTCAAGGAGGGAGTAAGGGATTGAATTTCATCCCACAAACCTCGCAATTTTGTGTAGAACGCAGACACCGAGGTCTTCTCCTGCTGTAAACAGGCGATGGTTCGCTTGAGTTCATAGAGTCGGCCGCCGCTTCCTTGTCCAAAACGAGCCTGCAGATCGACCCATATCTCGCGAGCAGTTGACGCGAACCGAACGCTACTTCGTACCTCTTTCGTCATGGAGGTCTTCAACCATCCCTTGACCATGGCGTTGCATCGAAGTAGCGCCTCCCTTTCAGCCGAAGAATCAGCGGGCGGCAAGCTTCCATCAACGAAGCACATCTTGTTTTTTGCAATCAAGGAGTCGGTGATATCAACCACCCACTCACCGTAGTTTCCATCCGTAAGCAGCTCGCCAACAAAGAGGTTGCTTGGGCTGTCCGATGGGTGGAGAATCAAGTGCGACGGTAGCATAGCGTGGGGACCAGAACCCACGACCGTCGACGATTGAGGAGTTTTACCAAAGTTCGAAGTCTTGCCAGAGGCTTCATCGTCCGAACTCATGATTGGAGAAGCTGAATCTACTCACAGCTCTGATACCATGTAAAATACGATAAACGCGGAATAAAACGAGACCAGGATTTACGTGGTTTCCCCGTTCAATTGAACGAGACTAGTCCACGGAGAGCTCGTAGCTCTCAGAGATGGAATTATTTGATGATGTTCAGTCTTAGGGTTCGGCAGCTGCTGCCCTACCCTTATATACACGAAAACAATAAAAGCCTAACTCCTCAACACATACACGTGGAGTTGGCAAACTACAAAATGACCCCTACAATTAATATAGAGAACGTAGGGATCACAACAGTCACAATATAACTAGTGATGCTTGCACTGGTTTTAGCGGTTTAACAGAATTCCAGGGTACGGATATAAATATGTTAAATAAACTATCTCAAAACCCTATCTATAGAATCGACATCATCCATATATAGTCTGTAAAATTGAAAACAGATTACATGAATGCTAATATCAGCATCCCATTAACAATCTCTCAATACTAGAAACATACAGTCCCAAAAATGACGAAGAAGCTCACCTACAACGCCTCCCGCCTGCCTCGCAGAGCCTCTCTCGCGGGCGCCGCGGAGGATTTGTCTGCTGACATAGGGTTGTCCCGAGAAAGAAGAAAAAGGCAGAGAGAAGAATTTGGACATTTGGTGGACTGGGTTCTCTCTCTCGTTATGGTGAATGAAGTAGCCGATCGAGTTAGCAATGAAAACATTCCCAGTCCACAAGAAACAAACATCACGTCTCACAAGTGAAGAACAACAAGCGAAATTCGTCAATGCTCCAACTGCGATCTAACTAGTGATGTTGAACTTGGACAACCAATTTCATTACACAACAAACATGATCACAATAACAACAACAACAAAAAAACCACACTGCAACTAGCTAGCTAGTCACACTGATCACTCAAAACAAACTACAAGCGAAACAACCAAAATAGAAACACATGGTAATCGAGGTGTCTCATCAGGCAACGCCAGCTCGTTACAGAACGATCGAAATCATAATACAGTTCATAGTTTCATCCAGAGCTGATAGTACGTCAATAGCTATTTAAGATCCTGTCTGGTTCAGCAATGCATCTATCACATCTCCGTCCTCCATGTGCACCTGTACATGTATCATTGTATCAACCAACCAGATCAGACACGTAAAAACCAGTCATGAAATTAATTAATGACAATAGAAAAGAGAGATTATCGATCTCGATCGATCGATGTTATAGAATATAGTTATAATAATGGACCTGTTTAGGTGTCTGATGGGGACGCAACAAGCGCTGATCGAAAATGAATGCAAAATCCTGGACCTCGTACATGCCAATCCGACGACAGTATGCTGCCATCAGCTTCCACAACGGGGTGCTCTCCTTGATTCTAAAGAACACCTCTAGCTCCCCTCCTAAACTCGAAACCTGCCCCACCACTTTGACGTGTATGAACTTGTGCGTCGGCTCTTGATCCATTGCTTATTATCAGGGCTCTGCAAATCGTCTACTACAAGCAAAAACAACAAGGTGAAGAAGAAGAAGAAGAAGAAGAAGAAGAAAAAAGGACTCCCCTGCAACTCTTGGTGCAGTAAATGTATGTTATATAGACACCTACTAGTTTGATAAGTTGATCGAATATCATGATTACATTTTTGAACCCAACAGTCGTGTTGGGAGGGAAGGGAAGGGAAGGCAGAAGATATATATCATGTCTAGCTACGTCTGCAGGTATCTTTGGATTTGATCTGAAGAGACTAGTAAAAGAGACTGCTCACTGCAGAGACATAATTCTTTTATACATGAAATGTGGGTACGCTTTATTGGCCTAAAATTTCAGTTACTGTTTCAATTTCTGTCGTTTTGTGGCACCGACGAAAGAGCTTCTCGCCCAAAATCTTCCCAATTCTCCCTCATCCAGCGGTGCTTCCGTCCTTCCACCAGCTGCCCATGCCTTCTTTCGCAGCCGTACCCCCAAGATCTGCAGCTGCATGCCTATCCTCTGTTGTGCCAGTGCTTGCCATTCCACTCGGGTTATCCAACTTTCCGGGTCTTCATCGTTGCTGACACACGCCACCGCCCATGATACCTCTTCACAGATGCTCAGGCACGCCAACGCCCATGAATCGGTCAGCTCTCGCCTTACTCCACTCGATCAGGGGGCTACCGTCGCTTAAAGGACAACTTTCTCTTATGGTTCCAATCCCAGTTCAGCTCTACCTCCTTTTCTATTGTTTTCTCACTCTGTTCCCCCTCTACGGACCCAGCTCTGCCAATTGGGTCGATGGACACAATCTTCTATGTCGGTGAGCTCTTATAAGTTATATCTGCATTCTTTTGTCGATATTTGTAATTTCACCTTCTTGATTTTGGACTATCGCTGCAGAGCACGCAGGTAGCGATGAAGATTCAGATGATATGGTTTCCTCGAGTTCGTGCTTGAGCCTTAGCCATGGGAAATGGGGAGGGACAACAGGAACCGATGGTGGTGGTGATGGAGCAGCAGGAGGACGAGGTGGGAGTTGGTCGAAGAGCCGATGTTCAATTTGGACGAGGTAAGAAGCTCGACGGCAGCGGAGGAGGGGCTAAAAACCAGAAAGAAAAAGAAAAGCCAAGGAGAGGTATGCAATTTCAGTTCGATTGCCGCCGAAGTTGGAAGGGACACAACTCCCTAGCCTTAGAAAAGTCTGGGCGACGGTGGTGAGTTCTTTTCTTGACTTTTGCATTCACTGTGGATCTTTCTCCTACCGCAACCCCCAAAGTAATGATCATGTTTCTCACTTTTCTTGATTTTTCCTTTTTAATTAGGCAAAATACACTTTCATAGCCATAACTTTACGCGTTGTGACAATAATAGCCAAATTTTGAAAAATGCACAAATATAGCCACTTTTTGAAACTTGCTTGACAATTTTAGCCATTTCCGTTACAAACTTTAACACCGTCAACAACTCTGTTAGTTAAGTGGATGTTAAACTGATGTGGATGCCACCTAGACGACACATTATCTCCAACTAGACTCGTCATGCCACGTGGATGCCACCTCATATTTTAAAAAATAAAAATAAACTCCAAAAAGTAATTTTCTAGAAATAAAGTATTGTTTTCTTTTTTTAATTTTCTTTAATCTTCCCATTTTTTTCCAGATCTGACGACGCACACTGCCTCGAGGGAAGATCAATTTGGCGAAGTTGACTGGTTGGAGACCTTCCTGCCGAATTCGACGACGCACACGGCCTCCACCACCCCCACCGTGATTCCGGCTTTCTACTCGCCGCTCATCCCTCCCCGATCTTGCTGTCCTCGTCGCTGAAAATGCAGGGGCAAGATTCGAACGGATCTGACGAGAATTTGGGGCTTGGCGTATGAACTGGGGAGAGAGGTTTTGGTGGGTGTTGTGGCCGCGGGAGAGGTTGCGATGAAGGGAACCAAGCATCAGAGCGATCTTTGTGCAACGGGGAAAGTTATGGAGGCGTTTCCCAGATTTGCTGATGATAGATATCTCGGGGATGGAGCTCGCCGAGGCACTAAGTAGAATCGACGTAGATATTCGACCAAACGACGATTGCGATTCTTGAATTCACGATCAATTTTTGGAGCTTTGGGAGAATAGGTGATGTGTCGCGATCGATGTTGATTTCAGCCTCGCAGAAGACCTAAATCCCTAGAATGGCAGAGACGGGTGGTAAATCTCATGCATCTGCTCCGGTGAGAGCTCACAAACATTTTGGCATACCTATTCTTCACCTTTGCAACCCAAAGAGAAGAGTAAAGGTCTAAAGGATGGTATGAGGAAGTAGTGGAAGAAGATTCGCTCTTGATGGAAGCAAGAAAGCTAGGGATTAGGTTTTTGTTATGGGTGGGGAGAAAGAAAGATTGAAGTTAGGGATTAGAATTTGTTTATTTGTTCGGATCAGGGAACAGAGGAGCAGGGAAAGGGGAAAGGAACGAGATGGTGATTTGTTTTTGTTTTTTTTTTCGTTGGATATATTGTTTTTTAGTTAATTATGTGTGAAATTCAATTTTTTAAATTGATGTGGCAAAAAAATTATAAATCGAGTGACACGTCATCAATCAACGTGATAACTGTTAGTCTAGTCAGCATCCGCATTTGGTCCGTTAAAGTTTTGGACGGAATGGCTATATGAATGTATTTTTCAAAATTTGGCTATTATTGTCACAAAGCGAAAAGCTATGGCTATGGAAGTGTATTTTGCCTTTTAATTACCATATTATGGTAACTAGTTTTTTTGCCCGCGCTTCGCAGCGGTAAGAAACTAATTATATTTACGATTTCTTTCAGTTATTTAATGACTAAGTTGAAATCAAATAATTAACAAAATTGTTCGGGTAAGATACATCTATGAACATTACGTAGTGTCTTAATCATAAGAATAACTATCCATCTATAAGTATTATGTAGGGTTTTAATCATTATTGAAAGACTTACATAATATGTTTGTTTAGTTTATATAAGAAATAAATAACTTTCCATAAAATTTACGTAGTGTCTTAATCATTAGCTAAGACTCATGTGATACCTTTGATTAACTGTTGCATAAAAAGTAACTATCCCTCTATTACTTTACGAATGTATGTGTAATTTATGCTACTTTGTTTAATATGTGGTCTAATAATAAAATCAAATTATAGAAAGTATTACATTTTATTAAGCCTTACATAAAAGTTAACTAAACTTACATAAACTATGTATAATGCAAATTGATGACATAATGAATATTTTAAGCTAACAATGAATAAATTTTAGTTAGTAATAAAATTACGTTACAAAAAATATCACATTGTTATGTAAAATATAATAACTTAACTTAAAAGCATTGATGCAATGAAAATTGATGAAATGATCAACAATTTAGTTAGTAATAAAGAAATTTGCGTTCGCACTTATATCACAAAACATCTACATAATACATTTGTTTAATTGTTACCTAATAAATTATTATCGCTCAATAATTAAAATAAAGGGCTTGGCTCTTCAAACTCAACCAAGCCCTTACTCGATAATAAGTAGGGGTGGGCATCGGTCCTGTCCGGATCAAATTAGATCAAATTTAGAGAATAGCGGTCCAATAGTGAAAGATAACTTAGGACCAAGGACCAGACCAATAGTGTATTCGGTCCGTTGGGTCCGTTTTGGTCTGGTATGAATGTAAATTCGATCTATTTTTCTTCAGTATTTATAAAAGAACCGTACCATATTATATTCGATTCAGTATGGTCCGATACCGATTTGGTCCGATATAATCCGGTGTGGACCAACTTAACCCATTGCCACCCCTAATAATAAGTGGCTGCTTGAGATAAAAAAACAAAAAAAAGATGGGTGGCCTTTCAAACTTAGTGCCGCAAGGTTTTGTTTCTTGGCTACATCCGTCCGCATCATATAAAAACTTAATGAACAGTGAATTTGATTTGTAGTATTTTACCGATAAAAACGCGATTCTGCTAATTAATCGTGAGGAACAGTAAAAAAATGTGAAAGAGAACTTGTGCTATTAATTAATAATAATATAATATCTAACAGTGGAGGTGGAAGTACGAGCTTCTATGGAAGTTCAATAACAGGTAGCTTGCTTGATTCACTCCTCTATCTCTTTTATTGTCATATGTTCCAATTTCAGAATATGTTCTAAAGAGATTCATAGTTAACAATGACTTTCTGTCACTGATTCCTAGATAAAAGGAGATTATGATCTTATTGTTAGTGTTTTTTTTATTTACAAAAGGATGATCTTGAGGCGGGTCTGATGCTTCTTTCTATGGCAAAAAGAGATCATTTTGTATCCACCCTCCTCATGTACAAATGAATACTTGGTAAGCTTGAGGGAACTGCTATCTTCATTTTCTGTGTCGCTAGCACTGCATCATTGAGTTTGAACATTTGCTCTCATTCTTGATCAATTTAAACCTTGAGCTATTCTATAAATAATTACGTAGTTATGGAAATATTAGAATATGAACATGATTTTGGGAGACAGATGATGTTTGTTATTTCAATCACAATTCCCTAATTTTATAGTAAGAGGTTATGGTTTTTCCACATGCTGTTTTTTCTGGGTTCAGACTAAGGTGTTTAATTCTGGAATGGGAGCTGCAGGGCAGCTACAACATACATATTTAGTCAGTTTGCTTGGTTAGTATGACGAAATGCTCAATCATGTAGATGTTTGGACACATTTTCCTCATTACTTTTATTAGTTTGCCTTGCTTTTCATTTAAGTTTCTGCTATTTATATTATGCTTATTCAAACTATCTTATGGGAAAAAAAAAAAATCCCCTCCTCGTGCTCTCTATCGTGGGAAGTGGGATCGACAGTTTCGCCTGGTGCGACTCGCCGACTCCGGCCACTCCGCCCTCTCGCGGCGCCGGAAACGGCCTCATCCGATGGGGCTTTTAAAAGCCCCAGCCTGGGATCCTCGATTGTTATCGCTCCGGTGCTCTCTCACCCTTCAATCTCCGATTTTTGTGAGTTTCCTCTGCCGGCGATTCCCCGCTCAAGTTCCCATGGCTGCCGCTCCAAGGGTGATTTTTGGTGATGAAGATGTTGCGATCGGAGCCCTGCGAAGCGACCTATCCCTCCTGGGTAGAATCGTTGGGGAGATGCCTCCAATCGCCCACCTCCAGAATACGTTGGGGCGCCTCT